CCCAGCCATTCCCAGCCCATTCCCTGCCAATCCCAACCCATCCATTTAATAATAATAATTAATTAATTATTTAACTATTCAATTTAATAATTATAATTATTAAATTATATAATATATAATTTATATAATATATAATTAATATAATTTAATATATAATTTATATATATAATTTTAATATAATTTTAATATAATATATATAATTAATATGTTATATTCTATTATATAATATATAATTTATATATTATATTCTCTGTAATATATAATTTATATAATTTATATATACAATATAATTAATATAATTTAATAATTAATAATTTTAAATTAAATAAATTATTTAAAGAATTTATTTATTATTTAAATAAATAATGATTTCAATACATAATTTATAATTATAATATAATTCTACTATTAATTATACTAATAAATATATTAAACAGTTACATATTAATAATAATATATATACATTTATATTTATATATATTTATATTTATATATATATATATATATATATTTATATATTTATATTTATATATTTATTTATATTTTTGTCTCTAAAAGAGGAACTGGGGGGGAAGAAGAGTTGGAAAAACCCTGGGAATGATCTCACCTCTCCCTGGAGGTCGATGGAGGGATTGCAGTTGGTGAAATCTTCCCAAAGCAGCAGCGTTTCCTCGTTCTCCTCCCACGTCAAACTGTCACAGTCGTCATCGAAATCAAACGTCTCACGCCTGGCAGAGCAGAGCAGCCATTAACCCATCCCTCACTCCTTTAATTAATTAATTACACATTAAATTACTGCCTTTTCACAAATATTATCATTCATGTTATATGCAGAAAGTAAGAAAATTTAGCTGTATTAATATAGTTTATTTTTTATTATTGATGAAATTAAAACGTAAATACGTTTTAACTTCTTGATTATTTTTTTTTTAAAAAAAATCCACACACACACAGGCTGCCTGCTGTCACACTGAATTTAGCAGTGGAGAAGTGAAAAATCCAGATAACCTGCAGGTGATGGTGCCCAGGCTGCTATCAGCACTGATGGTCTGCAGAAATAAAATACATGATAAATAAAATGTGATAAAGGGAAATAAAATCTTTAAAACGCGTGCTCTAAAAAGGAGGATTCAGGGCCATGCAAAATCATGGGAAAATATTGGAAAAAATGGAAAAAAATGTGGAAAAAAATTGGAAAAATATGAATATGCATCAAAACCCCACAGAATGGGATATCCCAGCAGAATGGGATAAAAGGAGTTTTCCAAAGATCTCAGGTGTGATCCTGGCAGCGCTCCAGGGCCGTTTGAACCCTTTGCTTCATTATCTTTGTCTCCTAATGTCATTTTATTTATTTTAAACCTTTCCTGAAGCGAGTGCACCTCGTTTTTCAGGCAGGAGCACTTTTCCCAGGACTTTTGTCGGGAGCACTTTTCCCAGGACACTCACAGCTGGTTGAACATCCTCTTCATCTCATCGGTGATGTTGAGGGAGCAGCTGACCTCCTCATCCGAGAACCTCCCGTTGTCCGCGTCCTGCTCCGACAGCTCCTCGTCCGACGCCAGCTTCCTCTCCTTCTTCTTGGAGGCCACCTTAGGTGGAGAGAGGAGCAGCAGTGAGCACGGGGCTGTGCTCAGGGGGGGATTTTTGGGGTGAGGAGAGCGCAGGGATGGGCTGGGAGGAGCTCCAGGGATTCCCTGGGCGGGCGGTGAGGAGCGGAGCGGCGCAGGGATGCGGATGTGGGGTGAGCAAAGCGAGCTGCAGGCTGCTCTGGGGGGATCTTGGGGTGCTCACCAAGCCCAACCTGGGGTGAGCAAAGCGAGCTGCAGGCTGCTCTGGGGAGATCTTGGGGTGCTCACCAAGCCCAGCCTGGGGGGATCTTGGGGTGCTCACCAAATCTGGCCTGGGGCCATGCACAGCCTGGGGAGATGTTGGGGTGCTCACCAAATCTGGCCTGGGGCCATGCACAGCCTGGGGAGATGTTGGGGTGCTCACCAAAGCCAGCCTGGGGTGAGCCAGGGGGGGAAAAGCACCAGTGACAGAACTCTCCCTCTCCTGCCAGCGCCACGGGAACCCCAGCAAGGAACAGACAGGAAGCCTTTCCAGACAGACTTTATTCCACAGGCAGGTTGAGGATCCTCGGGATGTGGGAAGGGTTGGATGAGCCATGGGAAAGCCTGGACAGTGCCCAAGGAATGAAGAAATTTGGGGAATTCGAGAGACACCCCTGGCAAGGGGCACAGAGGGAACACACAGGATGATCCCAGAGGATTCCAGAGGATTCCAGAGGGCTGGGAACACACAGGATGCTCCCAGAGGATCCGAGGATCCCAGATCCCAGAGGATTCCAGAGGGATGGGAACACACAGGATGATCCCAGAGGATCCCAGATGTTCCCAGAGGATCCCAGAGGGCTGGGAACACACAGGATGCTCCCTGCTGGTGCCAGAACCACAAACACACCATCCAGTCCCACCTAGAGCAGGTTTCCCTCTCCCTGGCACACCAACCATCCCCTGGCAGCCCTGCTCTCCCGCTCACTTTAACCCCTGCAGGCCTGACCAGGAGAGTGCTCTGCCGTCTCTCTGAGCACAGGGACTCAGCATTTCTCCTCAGAGACAAGAAAGCAGCACTGGCACCACACACAGCGGCTCAGCTTGCCAGAGAAATAATTCTCCTCTCAGGAGGTTTCAGTCTTTTGGAGAACACAAGGTGGGGAAAAAAAACCCCATCAAACATTTCAGCCAGCAGAGAGCACAAGGATCTTTTAGAGTGTTTTGGACAGCATTTAGCACCCAGTGTGGCATCACTACACACAGAAAAGATTTACTGAAAGCCTGAACAAGACACATTTAGATGGAAGCAGAAGGAAGGTGGGGGTTAATCAGCCTGGAACTGCAGTTGTGACAAGACCAGCTGCACTGGGAGTGACAGCCCTGATCCAGGCAGAGCTGTCACATCTCCCTTTTGGAGCAAATGAAAGAACTTTCCTTGGAGCTCCAAGGAAAGCAACTGCAGCAGCCAGAGCTCACAGTCACAGAAATGTTATTTCTGGCCACGCAGCTCGAGCCAGAAATAAAGAACACTCAGATGACAGCTCCACGAGCTTAAAACCTCTCACTTGTGATGGGAACAAATGGGAGGGAGGGATTATACAAACCTAGACCCTATAACTCTGCTTTTTTTTCCCCTGCATTCAGTGCAGACTCACATCAGACTCAGCATGGCTTAAAGATCATCCTGGGACTCCTTTTTTTGTTAAACTCTGTCACTTTGTGCTCTTGGTGCAGCTCCTGACACTGACAGGCAGCGGGGGCTTTGTTTTATGGCTACAGAGTTCAAGAAAAGGCAAAAAAAAAAAAAATGACCTGGACCACATTGCTCTGCTCCCTCCTGCCCTACCCTGTGGAAAATTCAGGGCCTGATCACCTGGAAAATCTTGGAAACGTCTTCCGAGTTGCGCTGCTGCGCGACATCGCACAGCTTGGCCGTGATATCGATTCGGCGGCAGATGTCCATGTCCACCTTCATGGCCTTTTCTTGGATCTTTGTGTCCAGGTCTGTCATGGGCTGCAGGAAGGACAGCAGGGATTATCTTCTGTTATTAGACAGTTCAGGCAAGAGGAGATACCCCGCAGTATCTCTGGAACCCCAGGCCACACCGCTGTTAAACGTCGCCGCCCTGTCCTCGGGCACGGCTCCGCGGCTCAGCCCTGATTCCGACAAAGTTCCGACTCAGAGGGGGGAAAAAAATTCCTGTACCCACCCCAAAAATGCTCAGGGAACCTCCAGGAACGGGACAATGGAATGCCCAGAGAAGCTGAGGCTGCCCTGGGAGCACTCGAGGCTGAGGTGGGATTGGATCGTCCTGAAGGTCCCTTCCATCCCAAACCATTCTGGGATTCCGTAAAAAAAACACTTTAAAAAATGTAAAACACCCCCAATTCTGGGCTGTGCAGAGAATGAAGTGTAAATTCCGGCCAGGATTTAACACTTCCCCTCTTCCAGACACAAAAGCTGCTGTTAAAGCAGAATCCAAACCAGAGTCCAGAGCATGGAACCAGCAAATCGTGGCTGGATCCAAAGAGATCCATGAAAACCTTGGCACTGACCTGGCCTCCAGCAAAAGTTCTGCCTCAAAATTCCTGTGTGGAAAACACTGCCTTGTAGTAATTCTAATTTCTAACTCCCACTCACACACAACTTCTGGCTCCTAACGAAGGAAGAAACATTAAAAAACCCCCCAAAGCATAAATATTAAAATTTTCCATCCTAGTCTTGCTCTCCTGGACAGTCCCAGTCCTGAGCAACGCTTCCACCTGGGACACAAAAATGGAAAAACTCTTTGTAGACCAATTTTAAACATCAAAACCCCTTTCTAAGAGGAAAGCTTTGAGCTTTTTGTTGGTTTGGTTTGTTTTTCCCTACCTTTTCTTGGTTTAAATTTTTACACACAGTTTTCTCCAGCCCCTGTGAGCCACATCTGGATATTTGAACTTTTAGTTTTAAATTTTTACACAATTTTACACAGGTTTTAATTTTTACACAGAGTCTTTTCCAGCCCCTGTGAACCACCTTTGGAGATTTTCACCTTTGAAGTTTGAGGATTTTTGGGTTAAATTTTTACACAGAGTTTTCTCCAGCCCCTGTGAGCCACATCTGGATATTTGAACTTTTAGTTTTAAATTTTTACACGATTTTACACAGCTTTAAATTATTACACAGAGTTTTCTCCAGCCCCTGTGAGCCACCTTTAGAGATTTGAACTTTTAATTTTAAATTTTTACACAGAGTTTTCTCCAGCCCCTGTGAACCACCTTTGGTGATTTGAACTTTTAGTTTTAAATTTTTACACGATTTTACACAGCTTTAAATTATTACACACAGTTTTCTCCAGCCCCTATGAGCCAACTTTAGAGATTTGAACTTTTAATTTTAAATTTTTACACACAGTTTTCTCCAGCCCCTGTGAGCCACCTTTAGAGATTTGAACTTTTAATTTTAAATTTTTACACACAGTTTTCTCCAGCCCCTGTGAACCACCTCTGGAGATTTATGTTTTCCAAACACCCTGAGCAAAATAAACCTCTCAGCTCTGCCCCACTCGACACAACCTCACCCCCAGGAGCGGTGATGTTTATCTGCAGGAAGGAAAGAGCCACGTGCCAACATCCTGCACTTCTCCCTTCCAAATATTTGCCCAGTCAGCCTCCAAACAAACACTCCCAGCGTTTTCCTGGGCATCCCTCAAATCCTGCAGAGCACTTTCCCTGAGCCCAGGAGATGTTTGCTCTCAGAACCTTTCTGGGAGCAGCTCCTGGGTGAAACCAACCCTTAATTAACCAGCAGAAGGACACACAGCTAATTGCCAAATTTCCCATGAGAGGATGTGGAGAATGGATTTGACACCTCCAGCGGGTTCTGCGGGTTTGTGTGAAGTCAGGGAGCTGTTGTGTGCAGAAATTAGGGGATAAATGGGCGTGGTGGGGCTTGTTCCTCACACAAATGGCTTTGGTGCTACCTCAGGTTTACTGAGAAAGGCACCTTCATGTTCACCTGCCTTATCTTTGGTTCACCTGCCCTATCTTTGGTTCACCTGCCTTATCTTTGGTTCACCTGCCTTATCTTTGCAGATATCTGCACGCTGACACTTTTAAATAAAGGAATTTTATCCACTCAG